TCGTTTCAACGATTCTCGAGATGGCTGTGAGAGATGTGTCAACAACCTCACAATCTCACCATCTTGGGCGTATGCCCGCCTCACATCATCATACAACGTTGTAGATGGGACTGAGGACGTCATAACCGCAACAGTGACTGTCTCACTGTTGGGTTTCACGAATGGTTCAAAGTCGGGACGACGTGAGAGTGCATCAGCGACGACGTTAAGTCGTCCTGGTTTGTACTCAACCGTAAAGTTGTATTCTGCAAAGAATGACAACCACCGCGCCATTCGTTGTGAAAGGTGCGGGCTGTTCACTGCCGTGCGTAACGACGCATGGTCAGTGTAAACAATGAAGGGTCTATCTCCTAATAGATAGAATCTGAACTTCGCGAGTGCGTACTTCATGGCAAGGAGTTCCTTGTCATGCACTGGATAGTTCCGCTCAGTTGGTTGCAGCTGACGCGACTGATAGCAGACGACGCGTTCAACGCCTTCAAGATCGTACTGCATCAATGCACAGCCGATTGCAAAATCGCTGGCATCACAGACCACATGAAATGGCCTGTCCTGATCGGCAATCGCTAGGACTGGGGATTGTATCAAGCTCTGCTTGATACCATCAAAGGAGCGCTGACATTCAGCGTTCCATAACCACCTCTCGTTCTTTTTCAACAAACGAGAGAGGTGCACAGTCATCTCGGCGTAATTGCGTCAATACTTATGCAAATACGTCGCTAGCCCAAGGAATTTACGAAGACCTTTGACATCAACCGGCACAGGCCAGTCGGTGATCGCCTTGATCTTTTCGGGATCAGGACGTAATCCGTTCTTACCAACGATGCACCCAAGAAGTGGTATTTCGCTTGCCGCAAATATACACTTCTTGAGGTTTGCATACAATTGATGCTTTCGCATGATTGTAAGAACCTGTCGGACGTGGTATCTGTAAACCTCAACGTCCGACTTTCCATCCATAGCTCGAGTATGGATGAAAACGTCACCGAAACAACTCGGTGCAAATTCTCGCACTGGTCTCAACAGATGTGATACATCTGTTGAACGTGGCAGGGGCATTACTAAGCCCTTGTGGCATTATTAGCCATTCCCAGAGCACGCCGCTAGGCGTGCTCACTGCGGTATAGGGTATGTCCCGTTCTAGCATAGGGATTTGATAGGAGCCATCCATCAAATCCATGGACTAAAAGATAGTACTCTTTGACATACCACCAGTGATGACGTCCTTCCTTGGTATCGGCGTCTGAGCCGGTACCGTTGCAGCATTCAATTTGTTGAATGCGTGCACTATCCGCCACCCTCCTGTTGCTTTTTGCACACAGAAGGTCGAAAATCTGCGTGGGGATGTTGACTTCCTCACATGGCCAGCCGCTAAGCGATCGGCAAAGAATTTGTCGGTCGCTGTGACCTGTTCACGAAGCAGTGGACACTGCTTCATGACACAGTACTTCGAGCCTGGTTTAAGCTCGACCTCGTGTCGAATACCTTTAACCTTCGGCAACTCGCACGGAACAGTTTCAGGGAATACATCCTTGAATTCAGCCAAATCTATATAGAGAGGATTTGTCTTGAGCGATTCCCACGATTATTAGTCTTATCTCTTAACTCGTGTCTTTTCATCTAGCATACTCTCTGTCCGTAGATGAACTACTGAGAACTCTCTCGTTCTCAGTAAACATTGTTGCTGACCTTGTGTCGGCTACACACTCGTCGTCAGCGACGAGTACGCAGATCTGCTTGACTTTGCCACTACGCAGATCACGCAAGAACCTTTTATGTTCAAGCGTTGGCAACTGAGTGGTCTCCGAAGTCAACTTCGGGGGCGTCACCAGATCAAGTGTATAAGCGCCTACACTTGATCCGTTATTAACTATGACATTCAATGTCTCTGTCGTTTCCTGGGGACTTGTTCCCCCAGGCCTCGAAGGACTTATTCCTTCGGCTTCCCGGGGACTTATTCCCGCGGGTTTCGGAGAACTTATTTCCGCCGTATTTGTAATCTTGGGACTTATTCCCTTTACTTCCTCTAGCTGGGGTTGCGCAACCACAGCGAGATCCTCTACGAAAGACTCTCCAGTCGATCTAGGATTATCGTTTCGCTTAACCTGAGCGATCGATTTTTTCTCTTCTAGATGTTCCCGCTAGGGATACATCTTCGTCCCGGTCCACTCGACTTATTCGAGTGGTGGACCTTCGGCGCAGCCTGTGTTTTCTCACAGCCGCCGGAAGCTTTCTCCGAAGTGTAACTGTTTGTTACACTAAGGTTTTGTGCAGTCGTACTAACGACCGTACCACAAGTGAGGCCATCGCACTCACTCGTAGTACATCCACACGCTTGTGGACGCTCCAAAACGTTCATCAGATGGCCATCTGATGAACAAGCGGCAGGCATCGTTACTGTTCGATGTTGCCAGTTTACCCGTGGTTCGTACCTTCTGAGCCACGGTATTCCAAGGATGACATCAAATTTGTCATCCAAATCCAATACGATAAAGTCATCGTCATATTGGGTATCTTCTAGCGTATAGTGGATCTTCACTATACGCTTCATGACGGTTACGGATGCGCCTGTCGCAAGACGTACCGTCATCCTCGTAGGAGGTGTGTCACATTCACTGAACTTAAAGTGACCATCTTCTAGCGATTGGCGTCGCACAAAATTGTTGGACGCCCCACAATCGACTAGAGCTCGAAGGGACAACTTATTTGTCACTTCGAGTTTCAAGGTAATGAGTGAGATCTCATTATTTGGAGCAGCAACGCACAATATTTGTGTGTTGGGAGCAATCTTCATCAAGAGGCCTACAAATTCTCTTGACGTTGCTGGATCAGTAGGGTGCTCTGCACCTACTGATCCTGTCCGTTTTTTGACGGTCCTTCCCGTTGTTGCGTCTTTGCACCAACAGCGGACCCGCGCCCCTATCCCTTTCTCATGGGTGGATGTCACTACGCCCAGTGTTGCGAGACACTGGACGAGGGGCACTACACTCGTGAGCGTAGTGTCCTGTCTTCTGACATCTGTTGCATTTCTGCAACTTCTTGTAGTCTGTAGAGCGAGCCTTCTCGCTCTCTACATAACAGAGTTCCATCGGCTCTGGACCACCGCTGTCATATCGTCTCGGTGGACGATATGATGTCGAGCTGGCGCGAGCCTGTCTCAGACTGAAGTCTTCCTGTTCCGCAATGGAAATGGCTTGTTCTAGTGAATCTAGTTCAAGCCGGAACAGGTGAGTCTTGACGGGACCATCCGCAAGACCCTGCATGAACACCGAAACCAACGTGTGTTCATCCACCGGATTGGAACTTATACAACTCGTGAGATGTCGTATATGTTGCGCGTAAGCGTGCACATCACGCTTACCTTGTTTGAGCTTCAAGAGTTCAGTTCGAGCTCTGAACTCAGCTCTAGGCGGTTCAAACGTTTGTCTGAGCCGCGACTTGAAGACTTCCAACGACCCAAACGCATATGGGTCGTGCAACTTGAGCCCCAGTGTCCAAGTCTTGGCACGTCCTGCCAAATTTGATTGGGAAAATGCAACTTGCATTTCCCCATCGTCGATGCGACGCGCCCTTATGGAGTCGTCTAATTCGACGAACCATCTCAAGAGGGAGTCCTCTTCGACTCCCCTATACTTGGAGATGTCAATCTTCAAGGTCTCGGGTCGACGCGAGTGCATCGACCCACCAGCAGCAGCCTGCTGCTGTCTCAACAGTTCAAACTGTTGAGCACCCTGTTCTCTCAACAAATCTGCTTGTTGAGAACCTTGCTGGTGAAGCAAGGCTACTTTCTCGCGTTCTGCGTCAAGTTCATTTTGAATGAACTTGGCGATAGTAGCATGTTGGGCATCTCTATTGAGAGCCTCTAGCATGACGCTAACCGCATGGATGCCCATGGTTGAACCCATCCGTTCAACCGCATCCCATTCGACATCGCTCAAATGGGAGTAGCCGTCACGCGTAGCGTGAAAGCTTTGGTCATCTTCATCATCTAACATATTCATGTTAGATGTGAACGTGGTCCTTGGACGGACTACAAAGTGCTACCAGGTGTAACGGGGCACCCTGAAGCTTGTACTGGTGACAGTACAAGCTACTTATTCTGATGACAGAATAAGGCGGTGCCTCGTGACTTCACATACACTCGTACGTGCAGAGGAATACGGTAAGAAGAAGCGAGTACTTGGTTAAAGTAAAAAGTAGAACTTTATTTATAATAGTTAATGTCTGTTAATAAACCACTATTTATCTTCATCTAACTATGTCTGAATACAAATGCGTATACCAACTATCTGCTCACCACTCATTGCGTGCGTCTGTCGTGTCGCGTCTTCGTTGGTTGATATAATGGCCTATATCAACCAATTAGGAACTACTCGTAAGTGCTGCAGAATATTTGTCCTTATGACAATATTCTGAGAATATAACTCTTATAATTATATTCTATTAACAATTTCTTATAAATTGTTAGGTAACGATTCACCCCGTTACACAATGAGTGGTGAGCAGGTTGGCGTCATACAAAGACGTAGTTTAATATTGTAACGGGGTAGCCCGTTACATGAAATTGACACCAAACGGTGTCAATAGGAATATTGTCCAGCATGACAATATTCTACCAATATTGTCCGGGATGGGTAATATTGAAGGAACATTATTCCTTTTTGGATAACATTCAATAGGTGCTCCAAGATTGGTTGATATAAGACATACCAACCATGGATTCCCACCAATTGCTGCTAGACGCTATGAGTGGTGAGCAGGTTGTCGTAATACGACGGCGAAGTTTAATATAGTTAGATAAAGATTAAAGTTATGTTGATAGCTTAACTGTAATAAATTCAGTTCTATTTAACCTTTACTCAAACTAGCAGTTTAAGTAGATTAGCTTCCTCTGCACGTACGAGTGTACGTGAAGTTTCGCGGCACACCAAACAAAGGTGCCCCGTTACACCTGGTAGCACTTCATAGTCTGTCCAACGACTGCTTAGTGTCCGTCCTACATGAACATGTTGGACGTAGATGACGACAGCTTTCACGTCACACGTGAAGGCTGCTCCCATACGAGTGACTCAGAATGGGAGGTAGTCGGCCGCATGAGTGTGCTCATGGGCGAACCCGCCGTCAGTGGTATGTTGGAGTCTCTAAGCAGAGACCAGCAACACGCCGCTATCAACAAGTTCCTACAAGGGGAACTTGCCGTCGAGCGACAGAAGATAGCCTTGCTACAGCAGCAAGGCTATCATCAGTCGATGGGTGGGCCGACGCACATACGTCGACCCGAAACCTTGAAGATCAATATCTCAAGGTACAAGGGAACCGATGCAAATTCCCTTTTGAGATGGTTCGTCGAGTTAGACGATGCCATCAGGGCCCGTCACATCGAGGGTGACGAGATGCAAGTCACCTTCGCCCTGTCAAATTTGACTGGACGAGCAAAGACTTGGGCCTTAGGGCTCAAGCTTCACGACCCAAACGTGTTTGGGTCATTGGGGATCTTGAAGTCTCGGCTCAAAGAAACGTTTGAGCCGCCGAGAGCCGAGTTCAGAGAACGCTCTGCACTCTTGAGGCTAAAGCAAGGTAAGCGTGACATGCACGCTTATGCACAACACCTTCACTACCTTGCGAGTATTGTCATGAAATACTTTGTTGATAAGCACACGCTCATCGACGTGTTCATCTGCGGTCTTGTGGATGGGCCGGTGAAGACCTACGTGTTTCGAAAGGAGTTCCATGCGCTGAAAAGGCGATAGCGTATGCGGAACAAGAATACTTTAGCCTGAGACAGTCTCAGGCTAACTCGTCAAACTAGCGTCCGGCGAGACGACAGGAAACAGGAGGTCCCGAACCAATGGACCTCTGTTACATCGGGCGAGAACTATCGCTCTATGAGTTACAAGCTAACGGCAAGATGCCATCGTGTCAGAAGATTGGACTCTACGCTCATGAACAGTGTCCCGAGCACTGCAGCACGTCCAAAGACAGGACGTGATGACCGCCGTTGGCCAAGAAAGGGTCCGAGGCGTAGGTCCGACCATGTAGCCAAGCCGCGACAGCAAGTCGGGCTGTCAAAAACGGTAAGGGTCAGTAGGAGCGGAGCACCTTACTGATCCAGTAACGTTAAGAGAATTTGCAGGACTCTTGACGAAGATTTCTCCCAACACGCAGTCTCTGTGTGTTACTGCCCTTAGTGATGAGGAGTCTCTCATCACTTTGAAGATCGAAGAGACAAGTGGAATGTCACTTCGCGCCCTAGTTGACTGTGGTGCATCGAACGGTTTCATTTGACGCCAGTCGCTAAGGGATAGTAGTCTCAACTGTGTTGAGCGAGAGTTCCCTCCAGCGAGGATGACGGTGTGCATTGCTACAGGCGCATCCGTAACAGTGAAAGAACGTGTAGTGGGAATCCACTACATGCTAGAAGGAAAACAATACGATGATGACTTCATCGTTCTGGATTTGGATGACAAACTTGATGTCATCCTCGGTCTGCCATGGCTCAGAAAATGCGAGCCATGGATCGGCTGGCAGCATCAATCCGTGAAGATGCCTGCCGTTTGTTCATCATATGACCATCTGATGAACGTCTTGGAGCTTCCACAAGCGTGTGGATGTACTACGAATGGGTGAGATGGCCTCACTTGTGATACGGTCGTTAGTACGACTGCACAAGACCAAAGTGTAGAAGACCACTGTACTGTGGAACCAGCTTCCGGCGCCTATGTAGAGACACAGGCTGCGCCGAAGGTTCACCACTTGAAGAGATCGAGTGGACTGGAACACGAAAGCACAAGAAGGGTTCATTCGAGAAGAGAGATGAGTGTTTTTCAGGATGGACAACACGTTAGAGCAAGATCGACTATCAGAGAGTCGATAGTAGAGCAAGCCCGCTCGACTGAAAGAGAATCGATCGAAGAGGACGCGACCGTGATAGTACACGTAACGGAAGAAATTCCGGCGTTCCTGAGAGCAATAACTCCCGAGATAGTTATGTTGAGGGTGTGGATCCCCGACCACCTGCGGATGTGTATTCCCAGGAAATCACCGAGTCAGTTAATGTCTTGGTGAATGAAGGGTCAAATGTGGGCGGTTATACACTTGATCTGGTGACGCACCCGAAGTTGACTTCGGAGACCACTCAGTTGCCAACGCTTGAGCATAAAACGTTCTTGCGTGATCTGCGTAGTGGCAAAGTCAAGCAGATCTGCGTACTCGTCGCTGACGACGAGTGTGTAGCCGACACAAGGTCAGCAACAATGTTTACTGAGAACGAGAGAGTTCTCAGTCGTTCATCGATGGAAGAGAGTGTCCTCGATGAGAAGACCTGGATTGAGCGATACACGTCTTAATCTTGGTAGTCTTTGAAGACAAATCCTTTGTATAAGGATTTGGTGGAATTCAGGGATGTTTTCCCGGAATCCGTGCCATGCGAGCTGCCTAAGGACAAAGGCAATCAGCAAGAGATCGAACTGAAACCTGGTTCGAAATACTGCGTCATGAAGCAGTGGTCACTGCCTCGTGAACATATACAGCGATCGAAAAATTCTTTGCCGATCGTTTAGCGGCTGGTCATGTGAGGGAATCAACATCCCCACACAGATTTTTGACCTTCTGTGTTCGAAAGACCACAGAAGGGTGGCGGATAGTGCACGCATTCAACAAATTGAACGCTGCAACGGTACTGTCTCAGACGCCGATACCAAGGAAGGACGTCATCACTGGTGGTATGTCAAATAGTACCATCTTTTAGTCCATGGATCTGATCGATGGATTCTACCAGATCATCATGCGTGAACGGGATATACCCTATACCGCAGTGAGCACGCCTAGCGGTGTGCTCTGGGAGTGGCTAGCGATGCCACAGGGGCTAAGTAACGCCCCTGCAACGTTCCACAGATGTGTTACGAATCTGTTGCGATTGGTGCGCGATTTCGCACCAAGTTACTTCGACGATCTCTTCTTCCATGGCCGGGCTATGGATGGAAAGACGGACGTGGAGGTTCATCGAATCCACGTCCGGAACGTTCTTACACTTAGGCGAGAGCATAAGTTGTTCGCGACCCTCAAGGATGGTATATTTGCAGCGAACGAAATGTCACTTTTTGGCTACATCGTGGATAAAAACGGTGTATGCCCTGATCCTGAAAAGATCAAGGCAATTCGCAACTTGCCTTTGCTAGTCGACGACAAGGGACTTCGAAAGCTCGTTGTATTAGCAGCATATGTCCCTTGTACTCGCGCAACTACGCCGAGATGACCGTATATCTCTCTCGTCTTTGAAAAACGAGGGGAGGTCATAGAGCACTAAATGTTGGCACTTAGTGTCAGCACTCTTTTAAATGCATCAAGAAAAGCCTGATACAATCGCATGTGTTGGCAATTGCAGACCAGGACAGACAATTCTATGTGGTCTGTGACGCCAGCGATTTTGCAATCTGCTGCGCGTTAATGTAGTACAACTCAGAAGGCGTTGAGCGCGTCGTATGGTATCAATCGTGTCAGCTGCAAGCAGCTGATCTCAACCACACATTGCATGACAAGGAGATCCTTGACATGAGACCTGCACTATTTTAATTTCGGGTATGTCTCTTCGGAGATAGGCCCTTCATCGTTTACACCGACCATGTTGGGTACGCACAGCCGTAAAGAGTACACATCTCTCGCAAAGGATGGCGAGGTGGATGTTCTTATCCGTGGAGTACAAGTTCTACATCGAGCATAAACCAAAACGACTGAATGTCGTCGCTGATGCTCTTTCGCGTCGGCCCGATTTCGAGTCGACTGCTCAACCCAACAGAAGGGGTGATCCCACGGTAGCAACACTGTCAGTGAGTGTTCCGCCGTCGAATCTGCTTGACGATGTGCGAAAAGCACACGCAAAAGATGAGTCTATTATGCGTTTGATGAATTACGTGTTATCGCCATGCAGCCAATCTTTGAAAGGCTTGTCGTCTCAATACCGCTCTTAAACCGAACGGTATTCTGTCCGTGATGGACTGCTGTACTATACAACAGACAACGGGTACACATTTCATGTCGTCGATCCGGCTCATAACGTTTTGCGATTGCGCATCATGTATTAGTGCCCGATGCCCCGACCAGTGGGAATCGCGATAGGGAAAAGACTTACCTCATGGTGAGTCGTGACTTCTACTGGCCCCGCCAGTATGGTTTTGTGCAAAAATTCATTCGCGCTTGCGAAGTTGTCAACGGGTGAAGCCTAGTCCTTCATCCCGCGCACCCTGACAGCCTCTTCCGATTCCGGCAGAGTCTTGGCAGCCCGTATCGATGGATTTCGTCTTCGGGTTTCCCAAAGACGTTCATAAGAATACGGGTATTCTTGTGTTTGTTGATCGGTTCAGCAAGATGGTACATCTTATTGCTTTACCGGAGTCAATCACAGCCCAGGGCTGTGCGCGTGTATTCATCGATACTATGTTACGACTTTAGGATTACCTCGTGAACTCGTATCTGATGGGTACCCCCGCTCCACAGCGGAGTTCTGGCAATCCGTGTTCCGTTCACTTGGAACACATTTGACGATGTCAACTTCTAACGATCCCGAAACAAATGGTCAAACAGAACGCGTCAACCGCGTCCTCGAAGAGATACTTCGACGGTACGTCCACTCGTTTACGAGTTGAAGTGGTTTCTTGCCGATGGAGGGATTCGCCATTAACAACTCGGCGCAAGCGTCGAGTTGCCATTCACGTTTACCCGCCTTCTTAGAGTGTGACTCTAGTTTAAGGGGGTGGGGGTGAAATCAATCGAGCAAAACCCGATCTGGTTCTTGCTCATCCTTCGTCGACAATGGTGTCAACGTGATGGATGCCAATGACGATGGGATCGATGTCCATGATGACGAAGACGAAGATGCTGGCATATTCAGCATCGCCAATGACCGCCAAAGTGAGGACGATGATACCCTCACTGGTGAAGACTACGTTCTTTCAGCAGTGCACACGAAGCGCACTGCTGCTGACAAAGATGAATCATCAGAGAAATTTCTGCTGACTGGCGAAGCGGTTGTTCGCTTCGTTCTAGACTCCATTGCAGATGCACTAGACAGAAGATAGACGCAGACAAACATGGAATAGCATGTATTTTTACTTAATGAAGTAGACCTAGTTTTACTGTATACAGTAAACTTACCGAATCACGTAGTGACAAATGTGGGCAGCAGTGAATGACTGCCCTAGTACACCGGCCCGTTTCGTGTGTTGCGCCGAATGGGCAACGCATACAGGATTGAACTTCCCCGTAAGATGCGCACGCATCCTACGTTTTACGCTGGTCGTCTCCGCCCGTACTATCAGTACGAGCCCGTTTCGAGATGCAAAGAACACCTCCGCGGTCGAGAGCCGAGACGACCCTCGAGTGGTCCTGTTTCAACGAGCCAGTCTGGTCGACTAGCGAAGCGACCTGTTCACGCAGCTCAGCGATGTATCGACGAGCAGCAGCCAGCTCATCACGAAGAGAACAAGTCGAAAGCTCGTTCTCAAGTTGCGCGCATGCAAAAGCGGCACGATCGTCCGAACGATTGTGCAACATCAAATTGTAATTATCCTTCACAAGACCCTCAAGCCCATAACGCCGAGATTGTTCATGAGCCAGGTCATCTTGCAACTATTCCGTTAGGCCGTTCAGCTCTTGAACATCAACTTGATCCGACCCTTGAGCCGGATCTGGTGTTCCACCGCCACCACATCCTTTGGTAGACTTAAGCGGTGTTCAACGCTTCCTAGTGGAGCGTATTTTGAACTACCGCGACGTGAATGGCGTCCGGACGAGTTACCTCGTCCACTGGCGTGGCTATCCACCGGCGTGGGACATCTGGGAGCCTCGTGCTCAGCTGATTGTTGATGTTCTTGGTCTCGTTGAGCAGTACGACGAGACTCACCCGCTGCGTTTGGAGAAGAGCAGTCGGAAAACGACCCCCCCCCCGAACGCGAGTACAGGGTTTGCAAAGTGTCGATTCCTTTTGCCATCTCGGAAGAGATGCGCGCCGTCCAGTATGGATCATTAGGGAGGGAGGCCTCCCTAGGGGCACAGTTCGAATTGTCCGGGCAACCTGGACACTAATCACCCTACAAGAGACAGGGTACTCCTGACTTTCTTGACAATAGGTGCAACTTGTATCGTACACCGACTGGGTTACGCTTCTCAAACCTGATGCGAGCTGCATCAAGTTTACCGAGCCAGGCCTCATGGCCATTGAACTCGATGTTATGGATGAGGGCATTCCATCCCTGCACCAAAGCCTTGTCGTCTCGGATACTGTTGTAATTGTACCACCGATGTTTTAAAAATGTATCGATGAAGAGTTCTGCTTCAGCAAGGATACTTTCCGTGTTGGAATTAGGAGGACAGATCCTCCTACAGACGAACAACGGGATTCGGTCCCGTTCAGTGGTCATACCGGCCACTCGATCTAACCCTTTGGATGACGGCATCCATGGAGACTCCACGTGAGGAGCGTGGCGCAGGACATTTCGGTCTATGGCCTCTCTTGTGGTGTCAACATAAACACTGACACCAGTAGCAGCTTGACCTCTCGAGTTGTTTCTCTCGTGATGACGTTTGAGTGAGCCACCACCATCACCATGCGTCCTATTGTCGGATGGACTTGCGTGAGACGAGTATTCGTGAGACGAATCGCTCAGTATGAAGATCTTGGACATGATGCCGCCACGTTCCCCAGAGCCAGTCAACCTCGCTCTTTCAGTGTCTGCCCCGGATGGTCCGGAGGCGTGAGGTTTCACCTTCGAGTCGGATGCATCATCCTACTCACCAGAATATATGAGCTCTATTTCTGGATCATCCGTATCGTGAGTCGTAGCACCCGCTGCAGACGCAGCGGATGTATCTGTCGCACGTGGTTACCCATCACATGGAATATTCACAACAGACACTTCATGTTGCTGAATCGCAACAGCAGGCGAAATATCACCTGCTGCTGAAGCAAGAAAAGTACTCTCTTCGGCTGAACGCATGCGTGCAATCACCGGTCTGGCTGCTTCGGCAGCGCACAGCATGAACTTTGACACCATGCGATAAATTATCAAATGAGTTGAGATTTGACCAACAATTGCTTTCCTTCTTAGAGTGATCCAACGGTGACCACCCTGTCCCATTGAATTAGAAAAATCAACGAGTGATTGCTGGTTAATGGAGGAGTGATGGAAAGGGGTAGCCCGTTAAATGATATGGACACCAAACGTTGTCAATAGGGAGATTGTCTAGCGTGACAATCTTCTTCCAATATTACCCGAGATGGATAATATTGAAGGAATATTATCCCGCCGTAAGACAATATTCATGCGCTGCTAAAAGATTTGTCGACAAAAGTTATATCAACCAAGATTATCACCAATCGCTGCTAGACGCACGTAATGAGTGGTGAGCAGGTTGTCGGCATACGACAATGTAGATTAATATAGTTCAAAAAAGAATGAAGTTATAGTGGTCGATTAACTATATTAAATACATTTCTGTTTTTGCCTTTACTCAAACTAGTGGTTTAAGTAGATTAGCTTCCTCCGCACGTACTAGTGTCCGTGAAGATTTGTGGCACCCCAAACAAAGGGTGCCCGTTACCCGTCTCGTTTAATACACTAAGTGACTTTACGAGTATAGAAGTCTTCCTCTGACTAAGGAGTTAGGGTATCTCCGCTACACTTTGTAGCCTTTGTAGTCGATCTACACCTGAGTCTGTTCATGTCTAGTCCTATGTAAGGATGGAAGGAAAGAAATCTCTATTTGAGGCTTAGGGATTAGCGCAGGAGGAATTCAGAGAGCTAATCGGGAACGAACAAGTGGATTTAATCTCTATACAAGGTCCTGAAAAGATTCGTGCACGTCTTGGCGCTTTATGTAGTTTGGATCCAAATTGATTGTGCACGTACACGATTATTTATCATCTATTATGCTTACTTAATGTGCTCTGTAACCTAAGTAAGCATAGTAGATGATTGTCTCACCACTCATCTTGACTGTAATTACATTCAAGGGAAAGGAAGGGGAAAATTTTATTAATGGATAAAGGAGGTAGAAATGGCCATGAACTTTGCTATTATTGGATTGGAGAAACAGCAAGTTGGGATGGCGATCCCAAAAACTAAGCGGTCGAGCCAGAGAATGGGCCCTCACGTTTAGCTCGCCGGTAGACTAAGCTTTCCCACCTGGTATTGGCTAAAACAGCGGATCTCCTGGGTGTTTTTTTACTCCGCTTAATCAGGCATATTGAGTGCGTTCTCGTTTACCATCCGGCCGTCAGGGCAAGAAAGAACAATCGGACTATGTTCAGGAGCTACGAAATTAAATCGCTGCCATGAAGCTTGATCCCTTACCAGAAATGGTTCCAGTTACCACCTTCACCTAGGGTCTTCGTACGGGCGTGGCTCGAACGAAAGGATTTTAAGTACACCTCGCCTCCTTCGAAGAGGTGGGGTGTACTATCGCACAGTACGCACTCGACCTGACGTACAGTAACGGACTGGACCTGCGATTCCATCTGAGAACGTGATTCCTCTTCCGCCCCATTCATATATTGATGCACGCGACGCCTACCGCATAGAACGCCTGTTGAACCACCTCAATATGAAGGGACGTCGAACGAGTTACTTTGTCCGGTGGCTCAGGTATCATCATCGGCATACACTCGTGAGCCTAGTTCTCAACTTCTAGTTCATTTGCTAGGCCTTGTCATATCAACAAGGAACAAATGCCCAGCGCGCTTTTAGGGGAATTGCACATCAGTGATTCTCTCGTTTATCTATTGAGCCACACGTGCCCTCCACCAGGGGTCAGTCATCAAGTAGGTTTAGTTTGGAGCTCGAGCCAAGTCGTTTAAACAACTTTGGCACGCACCACCCCAAGAGAGGCATGCACGGCCTCTCTTGACAACCGATGCCTTTTGTAACGTGCACTGGTAGAGGCCCGCTAATCAAACTTATTACGAGATATCTATGGATTTTTTATCCAGGCATCACGACTAATCTCACACATGCTAAGAATGAAAGCGTTCCATACCTGAATCAACGAGGGACCATCACGGTTGTAATTCCCACTGTACCATCAATGCTTATAAAATGCAACGATAAAGATAGAACGTTTGTTGAGAAAGCTACTCGGACTAGGATCAAGCTTAGAAAGCTTTGATGAATCGAATTATCTTTATGGTAACGATCACTAGTCGCGCCGAACAGACGAACAAACACTCCGAGGAGGTATCCACGGCTTCTTCTCAGAAAGAACGCGCGACACATCGCGATACAACGTCTCTTGTCTTGTGTCATCAGGAGTACCGACAGCAGGATCATTCCTATCACCCGGACTCTGATGCATGATTGCATCACCGTCAAGAGATCGTTTCCGGTGTCCATAAATACCGCCTTTCTCGCTTTAAGCCGGACGACCCTATCTCGGATACGCAGAGTCGGACTCGTCAGACTATTTGAAGATGCCAAGACGCTCTAAGAGGCTTAAAGCGCTTCGGGGACCCGACCAATTCTATTCCGGTATAGTTAACTCTGGGTCATCCTTAGTTTTGCCTCCCTCGAGTCAGTCTTACCGTCAAACTCGCCAGAGTATATGAGCTCGAGCTCATGATCTCCGATGTCACGTGTTGCATCACCTCGTGCGCCTGCAGCAACGACTGCTGCCAGCCTAAGTCGTGGAAACAGCATACGAACTTATTTCAGCTGCTTTGGGTGATCCTATCCCCCATGCGGCATTAAAGCGGAGCCTCATGGCTGCAATCTCAGCAGCTTTGGTTGCACACCGCATGGACTTGTTGAACATGCGATGATGATGAGGAGGAAGAATTAATGGATCTTCAACAAGTGTTCCGTGTCCCAGATCCACTTAAAAGAGTTACTCGATCATCAGTCAGTCACCAATGTGACTGATAGTCAAAGTAGGGTGATATAAAGGGGTGCCTCTGTTACATGAAAATTTACGTAAGGTATTTGTCAAGTATGAATTTTATGTCAGGACAAACACAACATACTCACATTGTTATCCTAAAAAATTAAAATGTTTTGCAGATGTAACAAACTGCTCATTGGTTTGATTTAGGTTTGAGAAATCAACTGATAAATGCTAGTCACGACAGAAGCACGCAATTAGTGGTGCGCAAACAGTTACACTACATGATGGAATTGTTACATACATAGTTGAATACAGAAAAATTGGTTTTTTAAGAGGGTTAATTATACTAAAAATAATTCTACTTTTTACATTTACTAAGGACGCTTGCTCCGTTTAGCAACCTTCCTCTACACGTACGTAGACGTGAGGTAGTTGGAAGCGCACAGCCTGGCACTTTCAGCAGTGCAAGGCTTGTTCGATTAGCTGAAAGAACACCCCCATACATGTTACATGAATTCTTCGCTTGATACTTGTTAATTAAAAAAAAACTCAAAGGATGATAGTGTTCGTGAATATTACCCTAAGGGACAATTTTCCGAAAGACTCACCGATTGGCTGGTATGGGTCATCACATCAGCCAGATCTAAAAGTACAATTAACGATGGACGCTCGCAACGAGT